TAGAGTGAAATGATAATGAACTCTTCCTTAGAGTATTCATTATCAAGAATCCACACAACGATCAACTATTTTTTTTATAATGATAGTGTGCATGACCGGTGAAAAGAATCTCGGCCTCATACTTCCATAACCAAAAAAATGCTAATTACGAATGTATTATTACACTACAAGAAATAATACGGTTTACGTCACTTTATTAAGGTCGGTTTATGAATTGACGTAAAACATAAAATTGATTTTGTAATTTACAATTTCAGGCAAGTGGCATTTAAAAGACTGCAATTTGAACTAAAATTCGTTCTGGACTTCTCTTACAACGGTATGTTTTTCACATGCATCATTATATAGTTTATGTATATCTATGGATACCTAAATCGAAAAATAAACAACAGTACCTATCTGATAAAGTTTGCTAGCTAAATCTATTGAACTTTGAAAGATGCACTTGGTTAAGGGATCAAGATTTTGATTAAATCTTGACTTCAAGTTCAACTCTAAAAACTTTTCTATATGTTATGCTTCTTGATCATACTGCATTTTGTCATAGTGATTGATTGGTTCACCCGCTACCATCCGCGCGGCCGGTAGCGGTTGTTGGCGTTTGACAACAATCATGGAAAACGCTTTCACTTAAAAAAAAAGTGGATTGTGTCATTTATTTTATTAGTTTACATCATTTTTTGATTGACACAACTAAAACTACATTATTTATGTGAGTGATTCTAAAAATGGTGACTCTAATATTTTGTATCAATAAAAAAGATTGACACTAATATTTTTATCGTTTGTTACAATTGATGTCAATATGTATCACTTATATAAAATGAAACTAATCTTTACATCAATTTGTATAAATGATGTAAATATTTGTTTCGGTTATAACAAGTGATGTTAAATATTTGTTTCAGTATAACAGTTGATGTTGAATATTCATATCATTTATTTAGTTAATTTTGTAGTTACATCAGTTATAAATAAGTGATTGTAGTATTCGTTTTAGCTTTTATAAATAATTGGAAGATCGTGCAAATTTTAATTAATAATTGAAACAATAATATTATTTAAACAATTAGTCCACATTGATGTTAAGAACG